AGCCGCTTGAGCCACAGGTGCCGAGCCGTAAATTTTGATGCTAAAATTATTTAGAGATTTGAGTAATTTAATCACATGTGGCTATTTCACATTGGGATATGGTGTGAATGTAAAGTTCACTCTAAATTTTGAAGAGGTGGCTCGGTGCCTGTGGCTCAAGTAGCTAGGGCACCAGCCACATACACCCAAGGGTGGCAGGTTTGAATCTAGCCCGGCCCACCAAACAACAACGACAGCTGGAACTAAAAAATAGCCGGGCATTGTGGCGGGCGCCTGTGGTCCCAGCTACTTGGGAGGCTGAGGCAGGAGATTCACTTGATCCCAGCAGTGGGAGGTTGCTGTGAGCTGTGATGCTATGGTGCACTACCCAGGGGGACAGCTTGAGGCTCCTGTCTCAAAAAAAAAAAAAAATTTTTTTTGAAGAGGTAATCATAAAAATGATGTGAAATAGTCCATTAATGTTTTATATAGACTATAAAATATTTTAGACAATGGGCTGAATCATTAGAAGTAATTTTACGTTTTTACTTTTTTAATATGGTCATTAGAAAATTTTAAATTCCATATTGCATCGTATTTCTCTTGGATAGCATTTCTCTAGGACGTGTCTCTAGAATATGCAGTTAGAATGGGTTCCAGACTATGCCAGGGGAAAGTTTTAATTTTAAGTCATTCTTTGCTATTTGCTATTTACAATTGGTTAATGAAATTTGATAACAAGTTACTTTTTTTTTTTTTTTGAGACAGAATCTCACTCTGTTGCCCTTGTTAGAGTGCTGTGGTATCACAGCTCACAGCAACCTTAGACTCTTGGGCTTAAGCGATTCTCTTGCCTCAGCCTACCAAGTAGATGGAACTGGAACTACAGGCACCTGCCACAACGCCTGGCTATTTTTTTGTTGCAGTTGTTTTAGCTGGCCTGGGCTGGGTTTGAACCCACCACTCTGGGTGTATGTGGCTGGCACTGTAACCACTGTGCTTTGGGCGCCCAGCCCAAATTACTTCTTTAACAAAGACTGTGGTCGGCTTGGTGCCTGTGGCTCAAGTGGCTAAGGAGCCAGGCACATATATACCTAAGGTGGCGGGTTTGAATCCAGCCTGGGCCTGCCAAACAACAATGACGGCTGCAACCACAAAATAGGCGGGCATTGTGGCGGGCGCCTGTGGTCCCAGCTACTTGGGAGGCTGAGGCAGGAGACTCGCTTGAGCCCTGGAGTTGGAGGTTGCTATGAGCTATGATGGTACAGCACTCTACCCAGGGGGACAGCTTGAGGCTCTGCTGCAAAAAAAAAAAACAAAGACTGTGGTCACTATCTTAAAACATCTTAATTTGTCGTGCTCTTAATTAAAGAGTTAAATGTTAAGGGCGGTGCCTGTGGCCCAGTGAGTAGGGCACTGGCCCCATATGCCAAGGGTGGTAGGTTTGAACCCAGTCCTGGCAAAACTGCAACAAAAGAAATAACAAAGACTATGCCACAGCACTCTGCCGAGGGTGACAGAGTGAGACTCTGTTTCTTAAAAAAAAAAAAAAATTAGGGTGGCTCCTGTGGCTCACTGACTAGGGCGCCGGTCCCATATGCCAAGGGTGACAGGTTCAAACCCAACCCTGGCCAAACAAAATATAGCCAGGTGTTGTGGGAGGTACTGTAGTCCCAGTCTGAAAAAAAAAAAAAAAAAAAAAATTAAAAAAATGTTAATCATAGTAAGGAAGCTTCTGATTAAAGGTTATTAATTATCTACTGTTGTTTCCTTTATTTCAGTTTGCTATTTCAGAAATAAATAAATGTTTCCCTGCCTTTGTTTAGCTTATTGAGGAAGTGACCAGGACACTACCTTCTGGAAGTAATGCCCACAGAAAGCGCAAGTTGTTCGACCTCTCGCCAAGCAAAACAAAAGCGCAAGTCACACAGCCTTTCCATCCGGAGAACCAACAGCTCGGAGCAGGAGCGGACAGGGCTGCCAAGGGACATGCTGGAAGGACAGGTGAGTTCATGCTGACCGCAATCGTGTTGGTGATATTAAACAGGTAGCCACATGTGTCTGGTCTCCAAGTGGAGAGGAGCTTGGGTTACAAAAAATAATCCTCCCCAAATCCCCCAAAATAAACCCGTTGAAAGTACTGTCAAATATAGCAGCACACACAGATGGGATACCGTGTTTGTGAGACTTAGTAACAAGAGGAAGTAGGTGTGACATTTGTGCAGGTTAGTTGACAATGTAGTTTTGAGTTTTCTGTTGCTATAGTCTCAGAAAAAGAGCATCATACAATTGTAATGTCTCTTTCTATTCTCTGAAGCGTTTTCGAAGTCAGACCTTTTGTGACTTAGGTTCCTTGTCTCCACTGAAGTGAGCATGCTGTCCTTTGATTTAGTAACTCATATTTTATTGATGGAGATAAATTTTTACTATAATTTTTTTAGTTTCTTTATAGATGATGAAAATATGTTAGAGTTTAAAAAATTAGCTGGGTGCAGTAGCTCATGCCTGTAATCCTAGCACTTTGGGAGGCTGAGGTGGTTGCCTAGGCTCATAGGTTTGAGACCAGCCTGAGTTAGAGGGAGACCCCCCCCCCTTTTTTTTTTTTTTAGAGACAGAGTCTCACTCTGTTGCCCTTGGTGGAGTGCCATGACATCATAGCTCACAGCAACTTCCAGCTCTTGGGCTTAGGCAATTCTCTTGCCTCAGCCTCCCAGTAGCTGGGACCACAGGCTCCTGCCACAACGTCTGGCTATTTTTTGTTGCAGTTTGGCTGGGGCCGGGTTTGAACCCACTACCCTCATTATATGGGGCCAGTGCTCTACTCACTGAGCCACAGGCACTGCCCACGAGACTCCACTTTAAAAATAGTCAGGCGTGGCTCTGCGCCTGTAGGTCAGTGGTTAGGGCGCTGGCCACACATACTGGACCTGCGGGTTCGAACCTGGCCGGAGCTTGCTAAACAGTGACAACTAAAACAACAAAAAAGATAGCCTCGTGTTGTGGTGGGTCTCCCGGGAAGCTGAGGCAAGAGAATCTCTTAAGCCCAAGAGTCTGAGGGTGCTGTGAACTGTGACGCCACGGCACTTTACCAAGGGTGACAAAGGGAACTCTGTCTCAAAAAAAAAAAAAATTGTGAAGCTTAGACAAAAGCATGTGTTATATTAAAACACATTGTAGGTATATCTAATATATGTTTATAACTGTATATGCCATTTCTTCACAGTTAGAACTAATTAGTCAGCCATAATGTTGCAGGAAAATAAGGCTTAGATCTGAGAAACTGGGTCATGTGAGTTGTGGATCTTGTGAGAACTGTGTGGGCATCTTTACCCCCGATGCCCAGTGTGACCTCTCCTAGGCTGTGTTGTGCTCTCAGAACCCAGCACAAAATAGCTGCCACAAAGTAGATAATTTAATTAGAATTAAATTACTTTGTGTTCAATGAGTGAATAAATAATTACCTAGTTCCACTTTCTAGTAGAATGATTATATTTTAATTTAATGGGAAAAATAAAATTATAAAATAGTTTTCACATTCTTAGTTAATTCCTTTGCTGGGGCTGCTGTAACAGAGCCCTACAAACAAATGAGCTTAGGCCAAAGAAACGTGTTTTCTCACAGTCCAGGCAGGATGCCCTCTGTCGAGAAGGGCCTATGGATGCCATCTCTGGTGTCCTCCATGGTGTCCTCTGGGCCTGTCTGTGTCCCGTGTGCCTATGGATGCCGTCTCTGGTGTCCTCCACTGTGTCCTCTGGGCATGTCTGTGTCCCGTGTGTCTGTGGATGCCGTCTCTGGTGTCCTCCACGGTGTCCTCTGGGCATGTCTGTGTCCCGTGTGTCTGTGGATGCCGTCTCTGGTGTCCTCCACGGTGTCCTCTGGGCATGTCTGTGTCTCGTGTGTCTCCAGCCTGACTGGAGTGGGTATACCTACATGGCCTCACTTTACCTTAATCATCTCTTTTTTTTTTTGAGGCAGAGTCTCACTATTTTGCCCTCGGTAGAGTGCTGTGGCATCACAGCTCATAGCAACCTCCAACTCTTGGGCTTTAGCAATTCTCTGGCCTCAGCCTCCCAAGTAGCTGGGACTACAGGCGCCTGCCATAATGCCCGGCTATTTTTTGTGCAGTTATCATTGTTGTTTTAGTTGGCCCAGGCCAGGTTCAAACCCACCAGCCTCAGTGTATGTGGCTGGCGCCCTACCCACTGAGCTAGGATGCCACCTACCTTAATCACCTCTTTTAAGGACCATATCTCCACACACAGCCACATTCTGAGGTCCTGGGCCTGAGGACTCCAACACGTGAATTTTGGGGGCAAGATTTAGCCACAGCACTTGGGGAGTGATGCCAGAGCTGTGAAGTAGGACTCCTGTGTGGCAGAAGTGTTCTCCTGCTGTGCCATATGGTAGGAAGCACATGTGGGTGTTGGATACTTGAGATGTGGCTGGTGTCTCAAAACCCAAAATTTTAATTTTTAAAAATTTAAATACTTTCCATTGAAATTTAAGTGCCTAAGATATTGGACAGTGTGGGAGAGTAGTTGGAGATGGGTCTTTCAGTGTGTAGATTTCCTCACATCTAGTGTTAGAATTCTAGCATCTCTTTTGCAGGTATATTCTAGAGTTACCTCCATGTGAGGTAACCGTGACCTTCTGGCTTTTTTGCATGTCTGTCGTCCATTGTGACACAGTCAAAGAGGTCACGGTGTCTCATGGTGACCCTAGGTAGGCAGCTTGGCATTCTGTAGACTAAGCAGCTGAGTCCTCTTTTGTGGGCCTCCTTACGTTCTCTCGGTGATGCTTGTTTGTTGAACAAGTACAGTTACTTGGAGAGGGACCAAGCAAGCTGTTCTGTGAGTGGCTGGTGTGGGCGCTGAGCAGGAGGGAGGGCCGCACTGCTGCCACACTGCCGGGTGCAGGCACTGGCATGGTAGGTGTGTGAGGAGCAGCCTAAGAGCACACATTCCCTACTGCCCGTGGTTTGACGCATTGTCTGACCAGCACAGAGTAATGCCCTCTGTTGTCGGGTGATGCTCAAGAGTGGTGTGAGTGAGAAGTCATGTTAGGGTTAGCTTTTCATATCTTAGAGTTGCGAATCTGAAGTAGTTTAGGAAGGAGTTAGCTCAGGGAGGGGCTTCTGTTGCAAAGAGCCTGTGGTCTGCGTCAGCTGTGGCCAAGACCCGCTGGCTGGTGTGCTGTGTCCAGCGTGTGTCCGTCTCTTGCAGTGAGATGCAAACTGGTCTGACAGCTTTGCTGACTTAGAGCTTTCCTGTCTTGAGCTTTCTCAGGTACCAAAAGTTCAACATCTTTCACGTTAGGGCCTATAAATGGAACGGCACAATCAAGGAGAACTGATGGGAAAAGGAAAAGGAGTTCTAAGGCTTTTTTCTGGGCTTAGCCTCCTTGTGCAAAAATTCTTCACTATATGTTTAGTTTCTTGATCATCTTTACTTTTGAAACAAGATTAATACTGACATTTCAGCTTTGTTTTTCGTAACAATTTTATGTGTGATGCATTTCATAGTCAAGTGAATATGACAGTTTAGTTGCTGAATATTAAAGCATTACAGGTATAGATGAGTAGGAATCAATGTCTGTAGGCAGTTTGGCCTCACATAGGACTTGGTGAGACTCCTGTAAGGGGTGACATCCAAGGAGGGAAGTGTACAGAGAGGGATGGAGTATGCCCAGGCCATGGGCAGGACAGAGAGTGAACGACTGACTGTGACTCTCAGTGAAAGATTATGTCCTCTAGTTATTGGAGTTTCCTCCTTGAAGGTTTAATTTTAATTTTAAGATTTTATTCCTTTTTTTTAAGATTGCTTTCCTTTTTCTCGTGTTCTTCATTGCTATTTTAGAGGATTCTGAGAAACTGTAGTACCAATTCTACCTGATTCAGGTTTTAAAGCAGTTGTTTCATGTGTGTGTATTTATGTGAGAATTCTGTGATAATTGTAAAATTTGTATTGCTAAAGTGCTATCATCAGCTTGGTGCCCGTCACACAGTGGTTACGATACCGGCCACATACACTGAGGTTGGCAGGTTCGAACCCAGCCTGGGTCAGCTAAACAAGTGCAACAAAACAAATAGTCAGGTGTTGTGGTAGTCCTAGCTACTTGGGAGGCTGAGGCAAGAGAATCGCTTAAGCCCAAGAGTTTGAGGTTGCTGTGAGCTGTGATGCCATGGTATTCTACCAAGTGTGACCAAGTGAGACTTTGTCTTAAAAAAAAAAAAAAAAAAAGTAAAGTGTTATCATTTTTTCTAAAATTTCTAACTTCCTAACAAGCTATTTTAAGAAGGACTTAATAATAAACATGTCTGTTTTTAAAAATTTGCAACTCATAAAAAATAAAAAAAAATGCTGTATAAATATTTGAAAAATAACTTACAGAATTACATTAGCAGCAGTTCATTACTGAGATATTATTCTAGAAACATTGTGGGGACAGCAAGGTGTCATGAAGGTCTCAGGGAGATGGGAGTGGACCTTGACTGCCCAGGGCAGCGTGGGTATTAGCAGCATTCAGGGAAAGTGCATTGTGAAAGGGTATCTGGTGCCCAGGGTCCTGTTGCGCTGACCACAGTGTGGAAGGGACGTGGGTGCTGCCTCTGCCTGCTGCCTCCTTGACGTTTAGTGAGGCTGGAGGTACAGGATGGACAGAGGTGTGAAGCACATGGCCCAGACGAGAACTTAAAGTTAACGATTTCACTTAAGAGATGTTGGATCTAATGCTGAGGGTTGCCTGTTTTCCTTTTTCATAGTTGTCTTTACATATTGTGTAAGTAAGGTCACAGGAGATAACCTGTTTCATTATGGAGTCGCACTTATGGGAACTGCCCTCCTTTGCTCTCCATTTATAAGTTTTTGAATATAAGGTGGTCTTTTGTTCTTTTTTGCAAAGGGAAAGTCATATTATTTTGTTCTTTTTTTTTTTTTGAAACAGAGTCTCACTTGGTCACACTTGGTAGAATGCCATGGCATCTTAGCTCACAGCAACCTCAAACTCTTGGGCTCACGCGATCCTCATGCCTTAGTCTCCCAAGCAGCTGGGACTACAGGCACCTGCCACAATGCCTGGATATTTTATTTTTTGTTTAGCAGGCCTGGGCTGGATTCAAACCCACCAGCCCCAGAGCATGTGGCTGGCACCCTAACCACTGAGCTATGGGCACCTGGCTTATTATTTTGTTCTTAAGCCCCATATTACCCTAGGTAGCCATTTATACAATTTTATTCAGAGTTTCCTCTGTAGAAATTTGAAACTTTAAATTCTTTAAACATTATATGTGTAGGAAATAAAATCTATAATGTTGTAAAACCAGAGTTTAAGATAAAAGATTATTCATTTTGGAAATATATTGGTGTTTGGTGATAGCATTTCTTGTTCATTTCTGTGTTCATTTTGGATAAAATCTTCTTCTGCAGGATTCGAAACTCCCTTCCTCGGTTCGCAGTACCCTTCTGGAACTGTTTGGACAAATAGAAAGAGAGTTTGAAAACCTTTATATTGAAAACTTAGAATGTGAGTATTTCCTGTCTTATAACTTTTTATTTGTCCATAGAGATCTTTGAGAGAACATTTGTGGGTGGATATTCACCACTGTATTAGTTTTCTGTTTTGCTATAACAAACCAGGTGGCTTAAAGAAGCACACGTTTATTGCCTTATAGTCTATAGGTCTGGTGTGGCTCTGTCCACGTTTATTGCCTTATAGTCTATAGGTCTGGCGTGGCTCTGTCCACGTTT